TCCAATAATTAAAAATGACTTTTTTTTAGTGCTCAGGCATTTGATTTTTTCTATATTACTAAGCATTTTACATGCTCCACAACTAATTACTGCTGCCTAAGTTGCTTTCTGATTAGTTTCATTTTTTGACTGAACCCTGAGGGGCACCCCAGGTGAATTTTCGGTAGAAAAAAAAAGTTGGCCAAAGTATTTAAAATATACACTGTTCGAGTCAGTTTTTTGTGCTGAATCCAAATATGTTATTAATTGTGGCTCGAGTTGTAGCTTTTATGATAAAAATCTCAATTTTCAGATTTAAGGCCTTATGCGTCCCATTTTCTTTATTTTATTTTTGGCAAATTCAAACACTTGCCAGCCAAGAATAATCAATTGTATCATCAGTTTCAGTTCATTCTACACTCGTTTAGAGCCAATTCTATACCGATTTCAGACCAATTTCAATTCTAACAAAGTTGTCAATACGACGTATGTGTCTTGCTGAGACACTTAATCGTACGAACTGTTCGATAAAAATAACACAATAACGTATCGCAAGATTTTTTTTATACGCATGTTTAAAATGAAGAGAATCCGAAATTTTTGTTGCCTATGAATATGGCTTATACTATATTTCTGATGTCAATATGATCTATTTTCTATTAATTTGACTTTTCATTTTTGTCTTCTCAAAGAAACTGATAGATATTGAAAACTATTGAAACTTTGTCTTCCTCGAAAAAGAATTATTCTGTTGCTGTTACTCAATTTCAGTGAAAATAAGAGAAAAAAGAAAATGGTTTCATTTGCAAGATCATAGAGCTATGCAACATTGAAATATAATTTTATTCGACTGTTGGCAAAAAAAAAGAATTTTATTCTTTAATTTACATATATAATAACTATCTGTGATTTGATAAACATGAATATATTTCATTCTGAATACAAATATAAAAGTATCCAAATTTACCTAGAATTTAATGCTAATCAGCTAAACTCTTATGCATCGTTTATAACCATCAGTTTCGTTTGAGTCAGCTTATTAGTAACTGTATCTCTATGTTTCTCGAACTATGATAATCAGTAAATATAAAACCTTAATTTAATATAGAATTACTTAAATATCAAAGAAAGTTTAGAGCGGATTCTGAACCAGTCACCTAGTGAGACAACCTTACGAAGATGCAAGCATAAAATTGATAAAAAGACAAATGGAAAACAATAGAAACAACACATTTTATATGAATACAGTAATTGTATTGTGAATGAAAAATAATGATAAAAACTATTGATGTTTCTTCTTACCTTTACCTGACAATCGTATTTTTTGTTTTATCAACCTGTCGGTACCAGTTTGTACAATGTTTGCCATTCATGCTTCGTTCTCTCTCTCACTTTCTTTCTTTCTTTCGTTCATTCTTTCATTCTTTCATTCAACGACAGCTTTTTTACTACACCCACACTTTCAAGTTTTACTTTTCATCTACTATTAAATTACTTTCGAGAGTGTAGTGAAGCAAGAATAAATCAAATACAATAGCTGCTGATGTGTCTTAATCATATTCAGCTGTTATAAACATATTTAAAGACTGAGAAAAAGTAAACGTATGCGTAGTAAACGTTGTAAAGAATTTCATTACTACTGTTCATGTTCCGATACTATCGTACGTTACTTGTATTCGTTTTTTTGACTTTTTTTTATCCAAGTACTTTACTCTATTATTAAACTTCAAATCAGAAAACAGCACGACTATTATGGAACATGACAAAATACTCTTGATAAAAACCTTGCAACAGTTAACAACATCCATTATTAGGCCAATCAATGCAACTTTTATCCTCAATGTTCGTCCTCGAACCACATGAGAGAAAACAAAATTAAAGCAAAATCATAAATTAGCACCTCTATTTGAAGATCTTTCATAGTTGAAAGCAATAAGATAGTCTTTGGTTTTTGAATAGCAAAAATTACACATACGCAAACAATCTAGAAATTACCAATAGCGCCGTGAAACTTATTATCTGACAAACTTTCAATAAAACTGAAAGTTAGAGAGTTGTAAATTCTAGCAGCCTAACTAAATGATTTTTTTTCGGAACTCTATTTGATTTTGTTCTTATTATTTATTTTTTATATTGCTGAAATTTCAAAAATGTAACGAATATTTATCACCAAGAAAAAAAACTTTCGGAAGAATTTACTAGGAGTTTTATCTTTTTTGACTATAACTAACAAAAAAGGATTCGTGATGATCTTGCAAATTCTATTAATATTAATTATCCAGAAAATGTTTTCCAATTTTTCATTACTGAAAAGTCTAAAAGTATTCTAGATAAACAAGTGACAAAATATGATAGCAGCTAAACGTTCAGAATATTCATTAGTAAAATACAAATTTGATCAATTAAAATCTTTAAATGAATTATTAAATCAAGAACCTATTGAAGAAATTTATATAAATTGTACTCGATGTGCAAGCAGACATTTTTTTGAAGAATATCAAAAGGCGATATCAATATTGAATCGTAGTTTATTAGATGAAACAATTTGAATTGATGAAGAAATAAAACAATATCGAACCTATTTCGATCACGCTAATCTGGTAGAAGATTTAAGAAAAACACATTTAGGAAATGAAGCGATTCATAATTGTGTTTGTATTGAATATTTAAATGAAAAAGTTGATAATTTAGTAAACAATCTACAAGAAAAAGATATTAATGATTTATCAATAAAACTGAGTATAGATAAAATAAACATTCTTTCGGAATATTTTGATCATGCGAATGTTAAATATAAATTTATTTGCCAATTTTTTTTAGAAAAAGTAGAACAATTAGTCTATTCTTTTGAAAAATCAGTATTGTCAAATGAATTTTATAATAGTATTTCTATGATGACAAAAATCTATGATGCAAATACTATTTTAAGTAATTATTTAGAGAATTCAAATATTGGAAAAAAATATTCTAAAATGAAAGAATTTTTTCTGAATTATTTAAATGATTACGTGAAAAAATTTCACGAAATGTTTTCGAAAGAAAAACTTGAATCAATTGATTTAGAAAAGCTTGTTAGCGCTGTCCCTTTGCGGCTAAAATGTGGAACTCACATATGATTTTTCGCCTAATTTACTTATACATAATGCGTGGTGCGAAATTTGCTGCAAGAAAATCGATCGGTAGGAATAAATGTCTTATTTAATTTTTGCATGTTTGCTAATATCCGTAATGCAAGGGGGGGGGGATGTCTGTAATGGGGAGCCGCAAAAATCTCGCTTTTAAACTTACACTCACCATTTTCTTCGAAAATATATGTGAGTTCTACAAAACCGAAATAATTGTATATGAAGAATTTTCATACAGACTTACCAATTATTTCGAACAAATTATAGAAAATATAAATAACGAACTTAAAAATAAACATACATTTTATAGATTAGAGCAACGTTTTAACGATTTGGATTCTTTACGAACTATTTCAAGTATTGCGCATAAAACTAACCAAATATATTGCATTACTGTAGAAAAATTAGTAGATTGTATAAATGAAACACGAATATATACTGAAGAATTTTCACGTAGTTTATTTCGAGAAGAAGACAAATCTATTTATGATAAAATTACAAAATGTTTATTAAATCTTAAAAATGCACAGCGGGTAGAAAATTACAGAGCACGAGCTTATTCTGATATTATAAAAGATATTGAACAACAATTAATTCAACATATGAAAGAATTAGAAAAATCTGTAGTGAAATCGAATTTAGATCTTGATAATTTTACTAAAATTTTCGATGTTTCGAAGATACTAATTGAAATAGATGAAATGAGATGTTTCGAAAGTTTTATTCCGATTCTAAAACAATATATCGATGAATTTAACTTAAAATTTCAAGGAATAATAAATTATGTATCTATCATTATCATAGATAGATACAATTTGGATAAATCAAGCGAACCAGTTTACAAAACACTTGATTATTATACAGCTGAAAAAGCTCTTTTCTACTTAGACGCTTGTAAAACATTCTTTATTTTGAAAAATGATTCTATATTAATGCTGAATTGTTTAGAAAATTACATAAGAAATTATATTAATTTTTATTGAAGATGAAATAAAAGGCTATTTTGCCATCATTAAGAAAAATAAAACTGGAAATGAAAATGATATGTTAAAGAAAATTGAAATAATATCAAACCGTTTGCAAGAAATAGTAGAAATAAAAACAACATGCAACCGTATTTTTTCTTGTTTTCATAGATCTATCGAGACGATCATTAAGGATTGAAACAAATTATTATCAGATTGTTTAAATGACTTATCTGAGGAAATGCATAAGTTATATTTAACGCAAAGTATTGAATCGTTAGGTAACAAATTATCAATTATAAAAATGTTAAGTAACTTAGATTGGTTCTTAAAAGATAAGAAATATATTGATATTTATCATAAATATCAAGAAAAACTTCTGTTGCAAGTCTATGATATTGATAGGGAAATAATAGTAGCTATTAAAAATTTTGATTATGAGTTACTCGATGATAAAATGGCGGCATTGCGACCATCGAACAACATTGAAACACATTTTTATAAAAAAAAGCAAAGCGATCTCTTAGTATAGGTTTAAATCAATTAAAAGAAGGTACAAGCAGATTAACACTTGTACTTACTCATCATTTAGAAAAAGAACAAATTAAATTAATAGTTGAAAATTTTAAACGACTGGAAAAGGCTAAATTTGTCATCGAAAAACATTTAAATATTTCACATGCTATAGATGAGTTTATTGAAGAAATGAAGACATCGATTGAAACAAAAATAAAGTACTTTTCAGATCGTATAGGAGCTCTTATGATAAACTACAATTTTTCTGAAGCTGATGAAAAGATTGATTCACTTATTGTAGTACGTAATTTGTTAGGAAAATATTGCATAAAAGATATTTCAGATCAAATTGAAAATTTACAAAACTATGGAAAAACAGTTGTATGTATCCGATATGATAAATAGATATTCAAAGATGGATATCAGCGAATATATGTTGAATCCGCCGAAGAATATTTTTGAAAAACTTCCAAATGTTAATAGTACAAATCAAATTTACAGTGAAGTTTTAGATAAATCGAGAAAGCTAATTTTAGAAAAAATTCGAAACGAATTAGAACGAGCTAAAACAAAACAAACAATAGATATTACAAATGAACATATAAGAAGATTTGAATCTGCCGTTAAATATTTACCTGAATCAATGAAAAATGCTCTTGAAATTGAATTACAACATTGTAAAGGCGATATAAAACGTCTAATACAATATAGTGAATTGAATTTAAAAGATTCATCTATCACTGAAGAAATAGATAAACTCAACAATTGTTCATTTGAATATCAAAATTTACAACTTATTAAATCAGATTTTAATAAAGGTAAAGAATTAGCTTCAAAACGAATAGTCAATATTGTTGTTAAAATCCAACACAACTTAGAAAAACAAAATATTATAGAAGCATTAAATATAAATACAAAACAGAATTAAATATGTATATTAATAGTGTTGAAACAATATACGTAGAAGTACATGTCGACATAATATGTATATTTGAAGATGCTTACCAGCATTTTTTAAATCAAATTTTAACTGTTCATCAAACAAAGCATGTAAAAACTAAAACTGAAATGTTAAAGAAAGATGTTAAATGTTTATTTGAGTTTATGAAGTTCAGACGTGATGTTCAAAATGAACAAATTTCGGATTTTGATGAAAAAATAGGTACATATTCAATTGAACGTGCGAAAAATTATAAAGTTGCTTTTGAAAATTTCGGCATTTCAAGTCTAGTAGATATTCTTAAAACTATGTACATATGTAATTCTTTATGAACACAAATAAAAGTTTATCATGATCAACACATAAACAAAAATTCAATCATTAATACTATAAAAGAAAATTTAGAAAAACTCACACTATATTCAGATATGCTAGAATCTATATGGCAAAAAATTGAAAATTAAGGAAAAGAATTAATTAATACTAAACTATTGGAAAGTAATTGAAAGAATCATAACAAAGATCGGGATGCGTTCTATCGAGATGTAAATGAGAATTTTTTTATTCTAAATCAAACTAAACGTTTTCATCCATTTCATCTAAGAATTGATGTAGATAAGCTTGAAGAAGAATGTTTAGAGTCAATAGAAAAAGAAATTTCGATTATTTATTCGAATGTTAAAACAGTTTTAGATAATTTTTCACAAGAAAAATGATTAGGAAGGAGAGACTGTGAGAATTGCAATAGAAACTATTGTAATTTGATATCAATCGAACGAACAATGAAAAAATAGTTTCAGAGAAAATTTACAACTGACGGCATTGAAAACATAATTCAGGATAGAATTAAAATGTGGGAAAGTTCTATTCAAGAAGAGCCAACACTAGAAAAAGTTGCTAATAATTTAATAAAAATAAAGGTAGTGTCAATGGATATTTCTTGTCTTGAAGTTGGTATTACAAAACGAATATAGGAAATTCTATCTAATTTTAAAAAAGTGCTTAACGAAGTTGACTTTGCTACGTTAGATGTAGTTGTACATGAAACGGGGTTCGAATACGTCGAACGTGAGAGTGAGAATGACTTAGTTTTGAATGGCATTAAAATGAGCGAAAGAAAATATGTCGAACACAATAATAGCGAAAAGTATATTTTTCCATAAATTTTTTTTTGAATTTTAAAATTCAGTCAGTGATATTTTATTCCTCCGTTTTCTTGTGTGATCTATTTTTACTGCCTAGCGTTTTTCGTCAATAGTATCATCGTTCAATCTAGCTAACGGAATAAACACAAAGGACACAAAAGATATAACGAAATAAAGATACGCCATACTTTATCTTTTTCCATTGCGTATCACTTGTTGTTAATTTAGTATAAATTTCGATGACATCGAATACAAGAAGAGTATCCTTTACCATCTCTAATAAAGGCAATCCTCCGCTAATTTAAACGATTTTATATATCGAGTAAAAAAAGAAACAGTATTAAAAAAATATTGGATTTGCATGTGAAATAATTGGATACAATACGTATATACAAAAAGGTTTTTGAAATCGATGGCTATCTATTGTTTGATGGCTTCCCATAGTCAAACGAAAGAAAGAAATATTTTCTTTTTATTAATTTTACAACTAATTATGCTTTATTCATTTCATTTTTTGATGTATATAAAATTTTATCACACAATATAAAATCTTCATCTTAGCAGTCTAAAAAATATTTAAATAAATGTTTTCGCTATTTTTTATTTTGCTATGATTGCTTTCACTATTTTTTCCATTCGGCATTTTTTCCTTCGACATTTTTTCTTTCGCTCATTTTGATACACACCTTAGTTTTAATATAAGAAAAGCACTAAGCAAGGTATAGATTCCATCTAAAAGAGAAAAAGCCTCATAGATGTAAGATCTTGCAGAAGACTTTTCAGGATTAACTGTAGCTTTTTAACAAGCCCGCTCAAGTAGTTCTAGTCCTATTCAGTCACTAGACGAATTAATATGATTGAAGATGAGACGGTTTATGCGCACGACATTTCTGAAATCTCTTATGATTAATTCTATGCAAATGAATACAGATTCTTCGTCAATTTGCGCTTTCTTGTTTCCCATTTTGCTTACAATAGATGATTTGTTTCTTATCCTCCTGTTAAACAAAAGACAAGCATGATATTAAAAAATTTTGTTTCTTAAAACCACTGAAAGCTTTGATCAATTACTATACTCAAAGTTTTATTGATGTGACACTTGAGTTTAGAATCTAGTTGAGATTGAAGTAGTATCTTTATAATTTTATTATAAGCAACTCAGCGAACATATGAAACAACAAACGCTACTATTACAGTGACTATTTGTTTGTTTTTCTACAAGCAATATAAATCTTCTCCATTTTTGCCACTATATCTTTAATATTGAAGCTTGATCATAAAATGACTCACACTAACAAGAAGTAGAGTTAAAAAATATAAAAAAAGATTAATTAGTTTATTACTAAAACGAAAAAAAATGAACTGACTAATATATCTTTTAAATGTATTTAATACGATTTTATTCACGAAGGATCATTTAAATGAAAACTTTTCCATCCGTTATCAAGACTTTACCAATCAAAAACCCTTTTTCTATTTTTTTTATTCTCTTCTTTTTTCATTATTTCGCGCATTGCAATCTCAACTTAAAATCTCATGTGAACTGTGATTGTCATATGTGTCTTACTTCATTTAGGTACTCATTTCACTGGAAGAACCAGCTAATCTTGACAAAGATGATACAAGTTTTTCTTCGTCTTTAGCGAGTATGATCTTCGAATATATTATTACCTCTATTTTTTATATCTAGATTTTAAGATCATCTGATAATGAACCTGGTGTCGATTTACTCAAAATTACTGGAACAAAAGGTAAAGCAAATCTTTATGTGACAACATTGATACAATTGATGTACACTATGGAAGAGTTGGCTGCATTACAGCCAGCTGATACTTATAGTGATAATGGATATAAGTTGATACAGGGTAATAATTCATTTTTTTCCGTCATGTTGAAATCGTGATTCTTTATTTCTAGAAGCTGTTCGTTCTAAGTTTAAACTTAGTGATGATCATTTATAACAAATATTTGATGAATGACTTCGTGAAGTTTTTCTTGCAAAGAGGAGAGTGTTGGTGGCAAAAATAAAACCCACGAAGCACAATGAATAAATTGGTTTTGTACACGAACAAAAAAATTTTTCTACAGGAATTCTGTTTTTTTCTTGTTGATATTTATTAAATGTAGTTTTGTTTATATATTCAAATAAAATTTGGAAGGAGAAAATGATCATGGAACTTATCTAGAAATAAACCTTTAAATATGAACTAGCTGGATCTACTGAGAGTGTGGGCGTGCAGAAATACCAAGATAGTGAAATATGTAACGCTACAGCGCACTATAACAGACATAACGGAGCGTTAAAAGGGGTCACAGTGCGATCGCAATAGCGGCGATATTACGCCGCTTTGTAGTCGTTATCGACGACATGGGTAGTGATGCAACAGTGACGGTGCACCATTCATCGATGGACCTATGCTAAGGTGGCATCGGCCACTTTTCAATGAATTCTTATTTTAATATCATATAACACCTCCCTAACATTGATAGGTTATTCTTCCCATTCGCGAGAATTCTCTTGTAAAAAATTAGTTCTCTTCTCAACTGCTCATCAGAGATTTGTAATACAAAACAAAAACAAGACAGGAAGACCATGGAAATGCCCAGCCGTGACTAACAGCCATACGTGACACAAGCCAGTACTGTAAACCCATAATCGTTTCAATAATACTAGTAACTAGTGATCACCATAGATTGCTGCTCCTCCATCGCCATTGTTAGTTTTAGCAATGCCACTGAAACTTTGTTTCTTTTTGTTTGTGCGTTTATTTAAATGTTTCACTAGGAAGCGCTTACACTGGTACATTTGATTTATGGTAGATACAAGTCGATGATACATAAGACAGGCAACGGATTCCACTGCTTTATTGATAATTGTTTGCATGCATACATTCGCGTTGAGGAATAAGTAAGAAGTAGGAAAAGCGAAGAAGAAGTAGGAAAAGCGAAGAAGAAGTAGGAAAAGCGAAGAAGAAGTAGGAAAAGCGAAGAAGAAGTAGGAAAAGCGAAGAAGAAGTAGGAGAGCAAGAACAAGAACAAGAACAAGAACAAAAATAAAACCGAAATAGTTTCATGTGTTACATCTATTTTTCACATAAAATTCCGACAGCGATTGAAAAGCAACAGAAAAAAAAATAGTAATACTGTTCATGAAAATTGATCTTCCCAGGTCGAACATTCCAGCACGGAAACGACCGGTTTCGAGACATTCCGGCGATTTCATGGAAGCAGTATTCCGGTAGGGAATTTTCCGATTTTTTTCCAATGATTTCCAGTTGCTTCCTGCCAGAAAGCACAGGAATTTGACAGGAATCCACGGGGAAAATCCGGGCAGTTTTTTTCAGTGCAGATAACTTGTAGAACCTTGTTAAAAATCAGACCTGATCCTGTCGGTTCCCTTTATTTCTATTACATGATCCGATGCGATCCAGTCGGATCAATTTGTCGGAGCTGGTCGGATTAAACGAGATCCTTTCTCACTCATATGTTCATCGGATTCCGGGTCACTCGGTTCTGGGCTCCTTCCGACAGAATCTGATCGAATTGAGCTAGAAATCATCCAATTCCGACATAATCCGACGTACAATCGTGTCGGATTCGACAAGATTCATTGGTCGGAACTCTCGCCCTGGGATATGCTTTTTTCATAATCAACGTATATTCCCAGAATAGGTATATTTCCTGCTAGATTATATTTTATTTCTTGATGAATTGATAGAACTCTAGTTTGTAATAAACAATCTCAGAGTTGCAACCGGTAGGGTTTTTTCTAAACAGGTACCGGTGCCGATCTAAACCGGTCAGACCGGACCTGACCGACCGGTAGACTGGCATGAGTCATAGCTGTTTTTTATGATCGTATATAAGTCATCATTGACTTTTTTCGTTTAATATCAATCATATCTTACTCCGAATCACTACACAAGTTATTTAAGACTTTTCTTTCATTACTCTGAAGTCTTTCTGTGACATGAGTATAGATACAAGCAGAAGAATATGGCAAAAAACTTGATTCTATCTCCCTAGCTGGCCCCAAAGATCGGCGAAAGCCTGCCCGTTGATACTCTCTTGGTCTGACGAAAGAGATTTTGATGTCTACAATGACTTGATAGTTTTTAGTAATATTGACTTTCACTCTCGGCATAATCTGTGATCTACATAATGAAGTTTCCTAGAAGATATCAGCAAAGACTCCTTATTTCTACATATTGAAAAACTAGACCAAAAATGTTCTTTGTAAATTATTGGTTATACAGAGTTCCGTATTAAAATCTGTCGGAAGCATATGAGTGTTGATTCATTTGATTAAGACTGTCTAGGAATAAAGACCGAATGCTTTATTTTACTCCACTATTACTTAAATCTTCAAGAGCTATGCATTTTTAGGGGTTTAATCTCAAATAATATGAAATAAAATAGATTCATACTAGCATACTCTCTTCACATTTTGATATTATATTGGATACAGATATAAAGCTCGCGAGCAGAGTTTTGACGATACTGCATAGTATACAAAGTGCAGAATAGAAGTAAATATCTGATAAATTACAATGATAAAGGGTGATCGCGTTTTTTATTCTACCATGGAACTTGATAGAGCAGTGATTTGAAAACCTGAATACGTTTCCGGACTAATCTCGGATACCTTTAAAAGGTTCTTAGAGGGAAAAAATGCGTTTCCGAAAAAGTAACAGAGTTTCTGGATTTTTAGAAATGGACCACTTTTTCCGGAAGCCGTGAAGCGTTTCCGGGTTTGTCACTATATGAAACGCTTTAAAGATTTCCGGAATCCTTAAACCCTTTTTCGCTCTCCAAAACCTTTTACAGGTTTCCAAGATGAGTGCGGAAACCCTTTCGGGCATAAAAAAGAGTCCAGAAACCTATTTTTGTCAGTTTTCAAGAAAACGACGTTTATTTAGGATGTATTAGGATTATACTCTTCCTGTGTTCAAACTTTTCGACATTTTTCCTTTGACATTTCTCAGTACATTCGATTGTATGACTTAGGAATCCGTCACAAATATTGCACGTCTGTCGTAACTAACATTGATTCAGGACATGTTCTTGCTAAGTTGCCACGAAATGTATAATCTCCACGAAATCGATGCACACCTAGTGGTATTTCATAATAAATAGATTCAACGGCAAATGTTTTCGCTATTTCAACGGAAGGTATTGATGCATTAACACGATGTAAATTCTGTGCATACCACACATCTTCTGGAATGTTTACATCGTATTTAACGAGTGCAAGTAAAGCAAGTATTTTACTACGACTACGTAATGAAAATCCTCCATTACCAACTAGATATGCTTTATTAAAACCAAACCAAGATAGATCCCATGGAGCACCAACATAATCATATTGAAGAAAATCAGTAATTTTATGTGGAGAATTCGAACACATAACTGAATCAATTTGAAATAGAAGAATTTTTTCACCACGAACACGTTCCCAAAATTTTGGATCGGTTAATAGTTCACTCGTTCGACTACGATCATAAACTTCTTCCATGAGAGTAAGGAATATTTTTCTCGATGCAATTAATGGTGCTAAAGTTGAATTTTGAATAAAATTCTGATTATTTTTTCCATGAAAAATTTGAATAGGCCATGATGATGGAATATGTTGATTAACATTATGAACAATACTAACTATTTGGTTAACGGTACGAAAATCAACAAGTACAGCAATACAAGGATAAAACTTGATTGTTGAATTTCTTACATTTCTGATAGAAAATATTTGGTTATATATAGGAGTGCTTGATACAAGTAGCACACATATTAAAGAAGCAATTAATAAAATAATAAATCGAGACGTTCTACTACGCATTCCTAATTCATATATATGCAGTAGTTTGAAATGATTTTTTATAAGAATACATATTCTTTCTATATCCATATAATGAAATTGCTAGTTTTATTATCCAGCTATAAAAAGTGATAAATTGTTATCGTTTGTAATGTGTTCATTGTATTGAATAAGTGTTGATGGAAATAGAAGCGACGATTTTGAGCAAATAAAAATAATGCATTCGTAACATCTATAATGAAATGTAGGCGTATGTTTTATCTTTTATATACTATCTTCACGTATTCAATGCCGTTCTCATCTTATAATATTTCCCATGTGATTCAAAGCGCCCCCCCCCCTCCAGCTTTTTCGGAACTTAGTGCATTTCCATGTAATAAAAACCGCAAGAAAATCGGCGGTTAACCGCAGTTTTACCGATCCGGTTACCGGCTCCCATATCATTGTAATTTACCGTAGGAAGGATAAATACCGCTGTTTATCGCAAAAAATAATCCGGTATTTACAACGTGGGCTGTGTTTAGTGTATCAAAACGGCTGAATATTTTTTTAAATCTGTTAAAACCAACAGAGTTCCGATAAATTCACTGATGTTCTGTAATGCTGATGTGCCTGAGACACCTGTACTAGCTACAGAGTCCAAATCGGTCCCAGCAAAGAGGTAAATTTTTCATTATAGATGGTGCTGTAACACTTACTATTATTGAAATAAATTGTAAAATTATTTTTTTCTCATTAATGTTTAACTCCTTTTAAGAAAAAGTTCGACTTCGAGCAGGAACCTCTCTATAATCATTTATCAATGGAATCGGAATATCTGGGCGCTACCAACACGATACCACCGGTATACAGACGGTATGAAGAAGGAACGTGTGGCACAGGTTCCTGAAAAATACAGAAAGTATAAATTTAACACTTATTCGCTCACGTGTATTTGACCTTCAAGCTTTTTAAGTGTAACATAATTGGTTTAGGGATGTTTCTTTTCTAATTATCTGTTGATTGATGGTATAGGTATTAAAATTAAGAGTAAAATAATGAGAAACATTGATTTTCTTGCTATTACACATACCCAAACGTCTACGCAGCTAATGGTATAATATTGAAAGTAAAGTAGGAGAGAAATAAACTGTCAGTAAGTAAAATTCAAGCAAAATTGTACTTTAATTTTGGATGTTTCAATAAAACTCAAAGAGCTCAACAAGAACATCTAGAATAAAAGAAAAATCTAAGCTGCCCAACTGTTATAGAATTCAGAACAGACGCTTTTTTTTTGACGGGCGCCGTTTCGGAAAATTCTCATTGCATTCTGATTTATACGTGGCACTTAACAAATACGTTTTTCAAATGTTAAAAAATTAAACTACAATGAACAAAAGCTAAATCTTGTGAAAATTTGACTGTTAGTTCTTTATAATAAAAAAAAAGATTCGACTTTTGAATTACTAGCAACTTATGACATAGAACCGTGCGCAAAGTATAAATATGAATTATCATGAATAATATAGGCATTATCTACACTTTTGTTTCCGATGAATAGCATACTCAATACAACTAATGCAATTAATTTCAAAATATGTAAAAGTCATAACATACGTATTATACTACCAGAAATGACAAAAGATGTCGCAATAGTAAATATCAAGTGTTGATTCAATCTCATATACGATGGTAACAAAAATATTGAGAAGAACAGAACAAATTAAACAAAAGGTGTTAGTATTAGGATAGATTTGATCATCCTTTCGAAGCGAAGACAAACTTTATACGTTTAGTATATCATACTCAGTATGTTTTATAATTTGTTTCTCGCGTTTCTCGTTCTCTGATGCCATAAGTATCAAATAGATTTCAGAAGAATGACTTCAACTTATTATTTTTAAACTAAAGCGCCAGATGCATACTGAAAAAGTAATTGCCATATTATACAATCTATATTGCTGTTTTACTGTTTGAAGTGACAGATTTTTTGTGGGTCTTAGTCTAATTTAACAAAGACATTAGTAAACTAGATGGTTTTCGAGTTAAACTCGAAAGCGACACGCGGTGCGAAGCACGATGTACGAGTTAGCATAAAAACTATCTCATAGAATAAATACGAGCAAATTTTTGTATTATCGATAGGCAATTAGCTAGCTCCTGACAATTTCACAGTATTTGAAAAATATCCGTCTGTTTCGCATATTGCCAAGCGAAAAAATCATAATGTGTTTGATCAGATGACTAATGTCAAGATTAATGTGAAAAATGGTAATAATAAAATTCGTCATTATGGTGAAAAATTATTATCATTCTGTAGAGCTATTTCAACAATTTGATAACATAGAATAATAGTATCGTATAAATGTATGGCAACTGCAGACTTTTGATGTATGGTTTGTTTTTCCGTTCATGACGTTACTTTAATTATCTCTTCATAAATTTCTTTCATTTTCGTCATTTTGGAACCACATTTGTGAGTGAACAGAACTTCAGATTGAAGATTAAAAAACAGATGTTCTACGTTCGATCTCACGTTTTAACCACTTTTCTACGATTTTCAGTTCTCGAGATCATCGAGTCACAAAACAACGAAAACGATGCGTATGGTCAAGTAAAAACAACTCGCGACGGACTACATAAAAGCTTCTGCTTCGCACCGTAATTAAAGTGCGGGAGGGGGGAGGGAGGAGTTGTTTTATGTTTGAGAGCGTTAGAATGAGTTTATAAAATATCACATGTTAAAAACTCAGAACGATTCTAAGACTCAGTACACTTATTTCATGCGACACTGAAAATTAATACAAAATTTATCGTATATAATGTTTCGTATAGTTGATCATTTTTTACTAACAGTACTTACGATTTTAAATTAGAGGAAGTTTGTATTTATTTCTGTTGATAAAAAAAGGGTGTAATTAAAATGGACAAAATCAATAAAAAAAACTAGATGGTATTCAAGTTTTACTCGAATACGAAATGCGATGCGAAGCAGGAATCTGGATCCACGGAAAATCTTCAATTCAGAGAAATCTTGAATACTTTTTCTGTCGACATGGTGAAATTCATTACTGAAGAAATTCTATTCTTACTTAGCGATACATTCTTAAGGATCGATTTCGATTGATCGATTAATTATCTCCATGATTCATTATCTTAGATCAGCTGTAAATGAGTAGGCTATAGTGGCTAACATATGTTCATGACGTCCCTTTAATTATCTTGCAACAAATTTCTTTCATTTTCGTCATTTTGGAAGCACATTTATGAACGAACGAAACTGCAGATTGAAGATTCGAAAACAGATGTTTTTAGTTCGATCTTGATACTTCGGTCTCACGTTTCAACGAGTTTTCTACGATTTTCGGTTCTCGAGATCATCGCGACACAAAACGTCGACTTTTGATGCGTAACGTCAAGTAAGTAAAAAAAAAAAAAAAACCTCACGACGGACTACATAAATGCTTCTGCTTCGCATCGCGTTAAAAATAATAATAAAAGAAAATTCGCGACGGACTACATCAATGCTTCTGCTTCGCATCGCATTAAAAACACTCGCGACGGACTACATAAATGCTTCTGCTTCGCATCGCATTAAATATTCGTTTTGTATCGCATTTATTTCTATCCAATCTGTGCACCATAATAAAAAAAACTTCCTGTGATTTTCTTTTTATTATTTTTATTGGACGAATAAAACGATGAGTGAGAAAATATAATGCAAGGAAATCAGAATAAAAAGTATATAATTCGCCAGTGGTCGGGTTCTCAGAGCTCAGAGCTCTTCAAGAACCCTGAGCTCTAAAAACCGCGACGCCCATACTGAAGCAAAATCAATACAAAACAGACACTTGCATCATCTTGCCTAAGCGTCTTTAGTTTTTAGAGCGCATAACGATGTCTAAGGATACATTACGTACGAAACTCTAACAACGAAATAGAATACAGATACAAACTGATAGTCTCTACATGACCTTTTTTTATCATTGATTAAGATGGAAAAGGCTAGTTTGCTTGAATCCATATTGTCGGCCAATAATATCGACCGAATTGTAAAGGATAGTCATACATTCAATGGTCCGTTCGCTTGTTGTAACTGGCGGGTTGATCATTTGGTAATTGACTGCACGTACAAATCCGCAATTGTATGCTCGACAACAAATAAAATGACAACTATTACTCAATTGGAAGATTTATCGAATGAAATATTTTTGGTAATATTGGAGTACTTAGGCGGAGATAAAATTGTTTTTACATTTTCATTTCTCAACTCATGTATCTTGCTACTTCTAAGCAGCTCAATTCCTCTTCATGTCAACATCCGTCACATTTATTGTCGTCGTAAACATGAATTTTTGTCTAACTATTTGAAATTTCATTCTAATCAAGTTGTTTCATTCCAAATTCATGATCAAAACAATGTTACTGCATATCTTTTCCATCTGCATGATTTATCTAAAGCTTCATTTTTGCATGTTTCATTCAATTAATTCATCATCGAAATTAGAATTACTTTTGAAAAATTATCAAAATTACCTAAGATTGTCGTATTTCGTATAAATCAATCTAGTGATGTTAAAGACGACACACTTAAGACATCTGACGCATCTCAGTTTATTCAATTGATTTTAATAGATACACCATCAACACTTCGCTCAGCTGTCCTTTATTTTCATTATAATCATTCTCAAATTATAACAACATCAATAGCTACAACAAATCTTACACATTTTCAAATTATGTTTTATGGTACATTAAATGATATATGATTTATTCTTTTATTCCTTTACTTCGTGTTCACTGTGCATTACAAACTCTCTGTGTGACAATCAAAAGCACCGATGTAGCAGACTGTATTAGTACACCGTAAGTCTATATGATGATTTGTGGATGGATAACTGAGATCCATTAATTTATTCAAGCATAAAAATATCTATCTTATTCTTGTTTTAAATGTGCCGAATCTTCCATTTGTTAATAAAATCATCATTATTACAATTGTTCGATTTACAAATAGTGATGACTCCATGTAATATTGATTCAATGGTGTAACGGGAAAATATTTCTTGAGGGTGTGGGTGTGTTTTATTCAACAAGTGGAAATCTTCTTTGTCCAAAACAATATAACCAGATAAAACAATTAAGACAATTCCAAGATGCAATTCCAGGACATGATATACTTAATGTAGCAACAATAACAAAAGTAGTTCGTCAAGCATATAATGCTGCTGCTGCTGATCGACTTTCTTGTTTCAAAGTTAAAAATTTTCTTAATACAAAAAAGATAACAAATATCAAAGAAGCCAACAACTGTATGGAAAGTTCGTTAAGAAAAAGAGTAAATATTCAAGATTATTCTGACTTCAATGAAGAGGACGAACCATCAGACTCGGAGAATGAATCTGATGAAATGTTTGATTCTGAAAGTGATGTTGACCGTGAAGATCAACAATATGAAGCATCAACCATCTCTTCGGATGGATTGTTTGGTGATTTAGATGGAATCAAATTTTCTGGTAGGGGAGTATTCGGTAAAGTATTAGAAAAATCTGATTTGAATTGGAAATCAATCGGAAGAAAAAATGTAAAAACAAACAAACAAACTGCTTGTTGGATTGTAACGCAAAACAAATCAGTCTTGTCAAACGATGGTGTGACTCGTGCAATTCAGAAATAAGATAGCACGAAGACAATATTTACTAAGTGCTTTTGATTTTGTTTAGTTAGAAGGTACTGTTTTGATAGTATTGTTTTGGGAAAACAAATTATTTTTGTTTTTTCGTATTGGCAGATTTAAAGATACATGAAATATAGGAGTATATCATTGTGATATGTTTAAAAAAGGACATCATGTTGTTTGATCCGATTAGCTAAAAAGAATAAAATACGAAACAAATTATTGAAACCTACGATAAATAAAATCAATGATTGAGTTAGTAATTGTTTATATATCTTTACAATAGAGAGACTCGATTAGTGGGTTGCGATTTTCGTTCAAATCGATTCATCTCGTGTTGGTGCATTTGAAAAGAGAAAATTATTTTCGCACCACAAATACAGTTCTATAGTATATTTTATATTCTACTCGTGTTCAAATTAGAATAGTTCAAAATAACAATGAAGTAAATATGATTTTAGAAAGTAATCTTAAATATATCTCGGTTACTACAAAAATAAATATCACAAAGAAATAAGGATGATTCATAGCAACCCTTAATACATTGTTAGTCTATGCTTATCGTTCAATGTGTTGTATTCTTTGTACTCTCATTGTACTTTGAGAGTCCACGAAGTTCACAGAGCCCATGGAATACAGTTGGAGTCCATGAGATCCTTGGAGCAGTGGCGGAGCCAGGGTTTTGGGATAGGAGGAGCTCAGCCCCTCAGAGGTGTCGCGAACATCTAAAAATTGGGGGCGAGGGGCCATTTTTAAAAGCGTGCTTTAGGAACAGTTTTGACAGATCTTTCGGATTTTAAAAGTCTTTTTGCAGTTTTTTAGGGATTTTGAAAATTTTATCAGATTTTTTGAGAATTTTGTAAGCTTTTCTAGATTTTTGGGGAATTTAAAATATTTTGCTGGATTGTTTCCGGATTTTATGGGGATTTTGAAAATTTTTCTGGATTTTTTCTGAGTTTTTGAGTTCGCTACCTGGCAGCACTTGTTAAAACGTTAAACTGGAAGCATTAATACACATTTATATAAAAAATGCATTTTCTAAAATCTCGCTAGGGAGGGGGAGCTGAGCCCCCCTTAGCCATCCTGGTTTTGCCACTGCCTTGGAGTACGCCGTTTCTCCCTTGCCTACATGTCATGTTCAATGAATACCACTTGTATTGCTAAGAATTATGGCATGATTGAGCGTCAATATGATCTGTGTTAGAAACAGATAGAAAAAACTGAAAATCCTGAAGAAAATCAAGCATGCCAGCATGATAAATCAAAACGTAACAAAATTACATTTATTTGAGAGCACAGACGAACATTAGGTGCCTGAGAGTCAGCAGAAATAAAACATAACATGTCAATCACATTATTTTGATTTCTTTATACAATTTTATCATTATCCTTCTACAATGAGTAATAGATGATGAGAGACGAAAGTAGCGTCAGCTGATAAGTTATACATTCTATCATCTACGCTGTGTGCTGTTCGCTCTCCATAGAATAACGTCATTATTTGCCGTGAACTGATTCTTTTGACAACATATAAGAATTTGCATTATCTGCAACGGGGTTGCTTCAGATGTTTTTCATTTTAGATGATTGAAATATGTGGATGCACGAAAAGGCAGTTGTTCGATCCACGATCAGGCTCTTTCGAATATCGATACACGAAATTCGGAAGATTTGAGTTTTATTCTTTCATTTACTTTTAACCTTAATGACGCGCGACAGAATTAGCTCAGTAGAGTAGGGTTTCTTATGAGATTCTTGAATACATGCATACTGGAAAACGTTTTGCTTGATCCAACTAGCACATTCTTTCTTTTCGTCCGACACTAATAGGGTTTTTGTTTGTCTGTTGATACGAAAACACACTCGCTCGATCAAACATGGCCACGGTAGACTTCGAATTGCATTGCAAACATGATGGGACTCGAATAGTATACACTTAAAAAAATGGTCGTGGGAAATTTCGATGGATAAGAAGCGTAGATCTGGACAAGCTCTCAGCAATGCATCGAATTGTGGAAGTATAGAGGTGTCAACATTGTCTATGCTCAAATATAAATGTTTTAGTTTAGTTTGCTCTATTTCAATTGGAATATCCCAAGTTGCCATTGAAACACGAAGGTAAACAACTGATTGTGCAATGAACGGAATGAGTTCTGGCCAATTACAACGAGTCAGATGTAAACGTTGTAAGCGTGAAGACGGTTGAAGTGAATTCAAATTGAATTGACCCGATGCAATGTGACATCTTCTCAATGATGTGCCAGTTAACAATAGAAAAAACTCATTTGTATCGAGCTGCTCGTCACTATCAAGATAGATATGTTCGAGTTGATTGAAGTCAGGTATTTGATTATAGATCTCTCTGATAATCATCGGATTCACTTTCACACATTTCAATGCTCGAAGCGATACAAGTGACGGACTTGGTGATGATTTTAAATACGAGCAAAGGTCGTTTTCGATAAATTCACCACACAACGGGCCGATAATTGTAATACTACGAATATATGCCAATGAAATAATACCACAGGACAGCATTGGGTCTAAATGACAGCTTGTTCCATAAATGACAATGTCAACGGGACGACACATAACCAATTGATTGAAACGTTGATTGATGCCCAAAATACTGATTATCAATTGGCGATGTGATAGGTAATCGAATATGTCAAGTAGAAGCTCATTCGATAGATCTTCAAAATGAGATGTTGACTGCATTTACTGAATATCGGAAGTAGGAAAATTGATGAAAAGATATATTTGTATTGTGTGTTGTTTTTGTTTTTTTGGTCGTCAGAATAGTGTGCACATGGTTGTCTTTATCTAAAGTCTGTCGCGAATCAATGACAGAACGAGTAAAATTTTATGTACCGTCAAAGCATGATGTTTTTCTCCCAAGTAGATGAATAAGTAAGCGTCATACGGTACTTGGTTGATTCTCTATGTATAATATCCATTGATCATTAATTGATCTGATTATGTCAATAAAGGAAAAAACCAATAAATATCTTCGGAAAAAACCAGAAATATATTGTCATAACGCAATATATTCACATCCTTGTTGGCTTTTTACATATATCCTTTCTTCATATATTTTAAGTAGAAATATTCGTCAGGTGACACTATGGAAATGATCGTTCTATCACTGTTTGAGTTACTCAAGATCAGTAAAAATGATTTAATACGCCTGATGAATTTCTTTGTTTCTATATGTCATCAAAAGTAAATTTAAGATACTAAGAAGTATAATAGTTTTCATTTATAGTCTGATGCCTTCGTCTACTCTATGAATAAGAACAGGGTCATTTAAATTAAAAATAGATAAAAGAAAGTTTTTGGGTCAAATTTACTTTTGAAAATAATAACTGTTGGTTACTAACTTTTAGACAACCACGAATAATTCATTCTATTTTGCCCAAAACAAAAGAGTGAACTCTCAACTATAATATTATCATAGGTTGAATCAATGCCGTTGTAAGTTTCTAGTGAATTGCCTTTGAATCAGAGTGATAACTCTTAGACTGATAATAACTCTGCTGTGTGTTTGTCTGAAAAAGGTTCCAATTTTAATGCAATCTCAGTCAAGTTTAAATACATAGAACTAGCTGGACATTGAAAATTTACCATTTGCTTTTCTTTTTCAAATACTCTTACGTTCTTGAAGATACATGAAATCGTGTATTATATTAGTGTATAGCTGCTTTCATCACTAAAACAGTACTATTTTCCAAGGTTTTTGCCCTGTCCAATGATGATGGTACCAGGAAAAATTTACAGCTTACCACGTTTGTTCACGATTTACTCCTGTTTTTTTTTAAATTTCCTACAGAGTTAATCAAACTGAATATGTTGGCGAGTGTACGTGTGAGCATAAGTGTCAATGGATAACAGATTCACATGCACACATCAATATTTATTTTTTTCTTACAGTTTACTGCGGCATAATTATAATAATACCGAATTATTATACTCATTCATTCTACAAAGATAGGCTTTGCGCACTGACGACGGCATCCACCACAACATTTCAGTTCACCGTCACACTCATTATCATCACCACATAGAGCAAAACAAATACGATTCATGCCTGTTGACGGTGGACAAAGGCCCGATTTGTTTTGATTAGATTCGAGTGGTTGTGCAACACGAGGACAACATACAGCATACGCATCATTCGGTGCAATAGTACATTGATGTGTTGATGGGCATTCACGACGATTGGGACTACGTCCACAAAAGTAGCCTTCGAGTGGAACTTCTTCCTTGTCGCATGGACTTTTCTTGCATACACACATTGAATGCCCATTGGAGTCACGTTGAAAACCGTATTGACAATAGATCATACACATACGTGGACTTGCGTCAACTGGAGAGCCTGTGACTAGTGTAGACGCTGTTGCGGCGCATAACAGGATAACAAGGGCGAGTAGATTCATTTGTAGTGATAGAATTAAGTGATAGAATCACAGCATGTAAATATTTTGAAGACTCTATGGTTTTTATATTATCAATCGCCAGCTGCAGCCTATACCCACATCATGTGTTTTATTTTGATTGATAAGAATTTTACGTTGAAAAGATAGTTTTTTTTATATATACAAAGAAAGCCACTGCGACATTTTTGTCTCTTCAACGCAACTGGGGTTGTGGCTTTGGGTGCCTGGGTGGATATTACAATATATTGTTGAGTCATACACCCCCACCCCGAGGTAACTTTTCCACGAATGTTCTTATTATGAAAATACACTCTAAATCTCAGATATATTGTTTCTTTTTCATCTATCATAATCAATTAATTGTTCTTATTCTGATTAATTTTAAATGAACTAAAAATAGTTGAAAGCAATGTCAAACTTATAAAAATTTGTTCACTTTGATTAAAATCGATTAAAAAGTGTATGGTTTCAACCGATGTTTAATCTTTTCTAATCAATTTTAATCTGATCTTACACCTAATCGTTTTACATGGGGCGTGACGTAATGTTAAGTACAAAGCTACACAGGCGATCTACTTCGGTCAACCGTTCAGTTTTTAGTCTTTTATTCCTCCATACGTTCTACTGCAGAATGAAATTCAACAAGTATAAGTTTTTCTCGAGTTTTATGATCGAACGAATAAAAGGTTTCATTTATTCACAATTGCCGCTATGGCTGAATGGTTAAGATGTTCGGCACATATCTACAAGATAGTGTGTTCAAACCTCGGCGCCATCATCCATAGAATAACCGTGGACAAGTTACTAACGGCTGTTTTGTCTCGGA